TTATGCACCTGACGTACATTTATATAACTAGTCTACAAAATAAATGCAATGTTACCTCAGAAGACATCGGCTTTATAAGGGACTTGAAAAATAAGTTGCTTTATTATTTAAAAACAGTTGCTGTTGAAAACTAACAGATTTGCACAAAATTGTGCTTTTTTTATACCCGCCAGCAAAAGAGCTCAAGAACTTTACCGAATCTGAGCAAAGGTACACAAAAGAGAAATGTTTACAAATTATGAGAACGTTAACTGAGAATTCTGACAGTACAACGGAACCACAAATTGCGGATACACCTTTGTTACCTTCAGACAACTTTGAGCTGTTTTCAGGTCTTCTTAAACAACCTACCTTTGTGAGCAGAACTGATAAAGCTACTGCAGAGCTGCGGCGATATGAAAATATTGAGGTATATTTTCATACGGACTTCGATATAATTAATTGGTGGGAGGTACACAAATGCGAAATGCCGCTGCTGCATAAACTCAGTCGTAGAGTAATAGCCACTCCTTCAACTAGCGCATCGTCAGAAAGAGTTTTTTCTTCTGCTGGAAATGTTATTTCTGACAAAAGATGCCACCTTTTGTCAAATGATGATGCCCTTAATCAGTTGATATTTTTGCATTATAATATGCAGTTAGGAAACCAATAAAATTAACAAAAATTGTCTTTACAAATGTTTTTTCTTTGATACTTTCATTACAGCAGTTATGCCATGCACTTGTTTTTCAAATCAAGCACTTGTTATTTGAATCGAGCACTTGATAGTGTGAATTACTCACTCAACCGACAATGTTTTTTCAATGCTATCACACGTTATGTTTGGAAATAAATGAGTGCGAGTGTGTGCAGATGTGAAAAGAAAGCGAGTGACTTAAAATGTAATTTGAGTGTATCCATGCAGTTCTCTGATGCATACATAGATTTAAAAAGCTGTTTACATACAAAAGTTTTATGAAAATGTCACATTACACAACTGTTTAAAACTATGTTATTTTTTATAAATAAGGCCGCAAACAAATCCTTACATCGTCAATTTCCATACCATATTATATTTTTACTCTTTCAATTTCGCTGACCAGCGCCGCAAACGATATCAACTAGTAGGCTAGCAACCAGAATTGAAATTAAATACGCAAGTACTTACAGTACTACATGCATACAGAGTACATTTGCTACTCCCTTTTGCAAGCAGCAAATATCTCTCGTACGCGTTGAGAGAAAGTAGAGTACCTACTTTGGTGGAGTAATAGCAAATACGTCAAGTATACTTATACGTATATATACAAGTATATTTACTCTCTCAACGCCAAGTAGTGTATGGATGAGGAAAAAGAGTAACAACCCTACAAGAATTGTGTGATGGAAACTAACACATTCTCATTTATCTTACTAACACATTTGCAAATATTGCGTTGGTTAAAAAGAGACCATTAAATAAGGTCATAAGTTGGAGGAAGACGGAAGATCACATGTACACAAATGTTTACATCAGATTTTTCAAACTGCCCTTTAGAATTTGATAGAAACTTGAAATCTCTATCAGTCTTGCCACTCAAATGATTTGTCAAATGATAGTCACTGTTCTTGCAGGGAATGTGTTGGGAGTAGAGAACAATGCAAAGAGTACTTATTGAACGAAATGCGGCAAATACACTTGCGCTGGACTTTAGTACTAGTACTAAAAAACGGAGGTGCATGAACAAGTTGTGAATGGGCAAATGAAAATGTGAATCATACGCCATATCGTACATGGCCATTAGTACATTTAGGTTTGAGCTCAACTTGAGGTTAAGTTGAGAACTAAGATATTTTTTAAATCTCCAACGTTGTTTCTCAACAGTACCTCAAGTGGAGGATCATAGCGTTCTCAACAAAAAGAGCATTTTTCTTTGTATGAAGAAAATGCTACTTCTCAACTTGAACTCCAATTTAGTTCTCCAATTGGTTTCAAACATATCATCGAAATACTGAAATTGAAATAGTAAAATACCTTATACCTTTTTAATTGAAACGAAATACATAGACGAATTTAAATATTAATTTAGCATTTTATTAATCCTTTTGTATTATGTAGTTAATCAATATCGGATTACATTAAGTCACTTCGTACTTCAGGATACGATTTTTGAACAATAAATTAAAATTAGAAAAAGCCCAGTGTATCGAAAAAAAATTTTAAAAAAACTATAACATAATTACATATACTTTAACTGAATTGTTTTTAATTGAAGCTGGCATAAAACGTAAGTAAGCACGTAGATATGTACATACATATGTAAATATACAAATTGAGAAATGAAAACGCATAATAAAACTAATGTATGCATGCAGATGCAAGTAGCTATACATCATGCGTTATCACAAAGAAGTTTATGCTTCCCTAGAATCTAGCAGCATCCTACTTAGTCTCCTAAAGGAACAACTGCATATAATATATCATGTAAAAGATAATGCTACATTTTTGGTGTGCCTTTCTTTTATAGCAATTTAAATCAATACGCATCTCGTTTAATACGAAACATCATGTAAGTATATTTACCTAGTGTGTTACAACTTATTTTTTAATTAAATAAAAATTCCTGAAAAAATATTAAAATTTCCAAAATAATTATTTGATTAGGTGGCAGTGCTATTTAACAATTTACGAAAAGTAGAAACGTCAGTAAGAACAGTTTATGTCGAAAAATTCAAAAGTGAAACTACCTTCTTTTTGTATCATGCTTGCTCCTTTGGGGAGCAGCTAACTTTCAGTTCCGTTGGGTATGTATATATGTACGTATGGTTGTGTGCCTGTATGTATGTATGTATGGATGTATGTATGTATTTACATATGTATATGATGCAAGTAACAAAGTGAAGTGAAGTGGACGCATAAAAATTTTAACTCGGCGTTTTCAGTACTTTTATATTGGAAAAGCGGCGATTTGTTATCCTAAAGTGTGTTCGCAGTGAAGAAAACTGCCGGCAGTAGTGAAAGGCAGTGGCACAATGTAGCGGAGTCAAGATAAGT